GTCCCACAGTGGTGCCTGACAGAGAATCCTCGCATCTCCTTGAGAATGCACACAGCGGGCTACAACTGTGGACTTTCTAGCTGCTTGTTAGAATTTGCAAAATATGGCGGATGTGGCGGCTCATACCTGTAATGCCAGCACTCAGGAGGCTGAGGCAGGAGGGTCATTGCAAATTCAAAAGCAGCCTGGGCTACAAAGTGAGCTCAAGGCCAGCCTGAGCTGCATAGTGAGACCCTGTCTCAAAAAGATTAAAAAAAAAAAAAAGAATTTGCAGAGTATGCAGTAATAGCACATCAAGAGTAGTTTATAGCTGTCTCAGAGGCCTCATCTTTCTTTGGGTTTGTTTACTTGGTTTTTGAGACAAGAGTTCCGCTATATAGTCCAGGCTGGCCTTGAACTCACTATATACCACAGGCTGGCCTCGAACTTGGAAGCGATTCTCCTGCCTCAGCCTCCCAGCGCTGGGATTACAGGTGTGTACCACCATGCTCAGTCTCTTTCTTCATAAACTATTTTCTTGGTGTTGTTTTACAGACTCTGCAAGATGCCGCTTATCCAAATATGAAGCATGAAAGGAATGCCAGGGGGTTTCTGGACTGGTGAGCTCGGTGGTAGGGCACAGAATTAGTTTCTGTGAGGCTCTGAGAACAACCCCTGGCCCCACAACAGAAATCCACGAAAGCTCTATGCGCCACCCCGCCGCTGAGCTCCTGGCAGGAAAGGGACGAGCGGCCCAGAGCCAGCAGTTCCCGGGAAAAGGCGCACGTCCCTACCCAGCGACCGACGCGCAACCCCGCCGCTGCCCTCAGCGTAAGCGCCAGGGTGCTGGGCTTACACTTGAAGCAGGCAGTTTTAGAATTGTTCCTTTTTAAGGGGGTGACTTTTTGCAATAATTTAAAGACTGAAAACTGTCCACCTGCCACAGCGTTTAGCACTCTGCGAGGAGCGAGATGGGGGAAGAGCGAGGGTGTGATGCTCCGGCGTCGGGCGGCGAGAAGAGCGCCGTGAACACAGAAACAGAACGCAGTCTCGGGGCCAAAACAGAGCCTCTCACCCGGGCAGCTGACAGCTTTGGATTCTGGTGATTACAGAAAATCAGCCCTCAGGAGCCTTCCCAGGCACTAGACAACATGATTCCCAACATCTTTTTCCCTAACATCTTTTCCTCTTACATCCAGTGAAGCGCCACTCAAAGATCAGCGAATTCGACGAAGTCTTACCGTCTGTAAACTCTAGGTACTGAAAGGTACCCTGCTGGGACTGCAGCCTGAGGGATGTCTTTCCACTGAAGACGCCTCAGACACTGCTCACCACAGGATTTGCTCATGCTTGCCAAATAAGAGAGATCTGGGATAATAACTAGGCGGATTGTGGTCCTTCCTCTTAAACGTTAACAGCGCAGGAAGCACACATAAGGAACACGGTTCGGGCCTGCCGCCTTTGCTGGATGAAGCCTGCCAGTGGACAGGGAAGCGAAAGGACCGTGCTGCCAGAGCCCTTCCTTAGACATCGAGAAAACGTGTGTACGTGGCTTATTTCAAAATTTCACTTGAAGTTGTGAACTTTCACAGACAAATACATCTATTCTCAAAGCCCATTCCAACGCCCTTTGCCCCCGCAAAGCTGTGAGGCGTGGCATCGTGTCACAAATGTGGGCTTTGAGCAATCACTTGGTAAGGGGCACCACCAGGAGGAGAGGGGTCTGGCCTGGGACCGGAAGAGGCCCCGCACAGGAAGAGGAAGCCCGGGAAGCAGGCGCGCTCACCCTCAGCCCCAGCCAGGTCACCGGAGCAAGAAAGGCTGACAGCTGCCCAGCGGGACTAAAATCCTTCCCCGGGAACAATTTCCAAAATAACCCAGGAAGGGCAGAGAAAGCAGTCTACAGCTAAGACTTAAAGAAGAAGGCCCAGGAACTTACCAGACAGACCTAACCTCAAGGAAGGGACAAAGAAAACACCTACGTCCCAAGGGAAAAGCAGCAGAGCATTAAATACTAAGGAGCTTCTAATTTTTACCTTTCAGTGTGGGAAGGGGAGGAATCTTTATTCTAAATTACATATCATTTATTGACTGGGTTGTTTTTTCTGTATTTAGGACAGGGTCTACAGGGTCTCACTATGTACACTGTAGATTGGACTCAAAGTGATTTTCCTGTTTTCAGCCTCCCAAGTACCAGGATTATAGGCAAGCGTGCCACCCTGCCCAGTCTCAATCCACCACATCCCGGGGGCGGGGCCGGCACAGCACGGCTGCTGGGCTCTGCCGAGGCAGCCACTTTAGTCTGCTGAGCTATCTGGCCCGATTGGGA